GGTTACTGCCCCAGTAAAGGGCTAAAATACAATTATAGTATATTTTATTTCTGACAGTGTAAACAAAAAAGGCCTATGAAATGTTAAAAAAACATGGCTTTAAAATCTAATATTAAGTGAGTATAATTACTGATTACATGTTCTTTTAATAATTTAAAAGATCAGTTTAGTTTAGTAGTATCGGTATCGGTATCGATATCGACGATACTGGGCTTGAAAATATCGGTATCGGATCGAAAATAAAATAAGAGGTATCGCCCATCCCTACTCCCTTCATTAAAAGGATTCGTTCAGAAATACGCCAGTTGGTGAGTGATTCATTGAATCTTTCACTCAATCGAAACACCAAGCCGATCAAACTCGTTTTAGCTTCTTTAAAAAGCTCCTATGGGATCCGGCGTTTCTTTATATAACTCATAAATAACATGTTACTACTAACTGTATATTATTATCGGTCGTTTTTTTACACACTTTCCGCTCCCTTTCACGAGCAATCCACACATTCCACACCAACTGTTCAGTGTTCAATGAAGGGGGCGTATTCGTTCAGTTGGTCCAACCAATGAAATGCTCGTTCACAGCCCGCGCTCGAATACTATTTGCTAGTACAGCAGGCAGTCTCTGAAGGCAAGCAATCAAAAGCCAGATAAGTTTACAGTGAACGAAAAACAGAAGCTATTTAAATACCTGTAAAATAATCCTGTATCGTCACTGCCAGTAAATGCTGTGAGGAAGTACTGTATCGGAAAAGATCAGAAAGTGAACAGGCTTGACATTAGTATTTTGAAATGTTAATATGTTCGACTGGTGCTTTTTGATTATGATTATGAAGAGTCGATCGACATCCAGTGAACTACAATTAATCAACGCTTGCTCATTGCTAATATTTCTGCTTCATTTGAAGGGGTTTAAGAAATTGTGCGCCGCCCGGGAATCGAACCCGGATCGCAAGAATGGGAATCTTGCATGATACCACTACACCAGCGGCGCGTGCCGAAGACAAGGGTTATTGTGAAGGACAGGAAGCTGCTCCCTTCCCAGTGAGTTCAAATTTTATTATCATTCAGGATTCAGGAATATGACTTGCAGCACAACAAACAACATATAATATGATTTTCAATACGGCTACAACAAACAATATAGCACAACACACAATAATACTAATGTACCACACACCCAGGATGGAATATAAGCATTGTAATGCAAACTAAAGTAAACTATTTTAGTAAAATATTTACCAAAGATTAAGCCAACCATAAATAAATGTATAGTACGGTTCTGCGCTGATTTAATCTTCACTGTGTTTTGCATATTGGCATCTTTCTCAACACCGGAAGTTCTTCATAATGACCACATGATGGCGCTTTTACTCTTCACACTGCAGTGGGAACTACAAATAGTTTGGAAGCATTATGACATATATTATATTATATTATATTATATATTTTAAACAGCCCCCTTGGAAGTTTACAGCTCGGGAAAATGTGTTTTATGGGGATTTTCCATTTACAAATGCAATATGCAATTACATGTTGGTGGGATCAAAAATAATTTGAATGACTAAGACTTTCCAAACACTAGCATCATAACAGCATCATAACTTTTGCTGCAGGTTACTGATTCAGCAACCCAACAGAAATGGCATGCTCTCTGCATGGAAAATGATGCTTAATAAAACAAAATTATGCCATCATGCCTCTGGACATAGTACAGCAATTTTTCCTTTTAGTGTAGAGAATACAAATGGTCCTTGGTGTATTCTTTATGTGTTTTTTTTTCGTTTCCAGTTATTTATTTCAGTAGAAATCAAAACAAAACAAAAACCTAGACCATTTCTAGAAAAAAAAAATAGCTTCCTTTCCCGTTACTTTATTTTACCGTTGCTTTTAAGATTTAATCCTGCATCCAGTCTAGTCAATATCTTCAGATTAATGAGCTCTGTAATAGTTCATCTTTATTTTAAGAAACACAGTCTCCCATTGATTCTTCCCAATAGAGGCTTTGGGAACTGTTAGATTTAACACCGTTGTTGCTTTGCGGTCTAAAGCTTTTTCCTTTCCTAATGCAAATCAGTGGTGTTCTCCATTATTACTGAATGTTATCTGCTGATATTCACCAGAATGGAGAACACACTGCAAGGACCAGCCACTTTAAATGGTGCAAACAAAGTTAGTGTGCTACAGCTACAGACGGGTGACATACATTATGTCAAACCATGGAAACTATGAGAGCAGAGCATCCTGTTTGATAAGAAGCTACCAAGACTACACCGTGCTGGTTTAAATAGACTCTAAATACGTAAAGATAAAGAGTGAGTGGCATAGAGTGGTGCGTTGAGAGAGAGGAAGGAAGATGGAGTGACAGAACAACAGGAGGAGACGATTTGGTAGCAGTTTCAGTGTTGAACTGCTGAACAGTTCAGTTGCAGGTCCGACCTTTAACAGGAAACGCCAACTTCCGCACCCTAAATGAAACACTGCGCTCATAAGCATGAGACGTTTTTGAAGACTCAACACTTGTGTCCATTTAGGCGGTTGACTATTTGACATAACAAAAGAAAAGCTGTGAGCATCTGTCACATATTCACGTTGCTTGTGTCTAGGGGAGCTGAATAATCGGGTTAGGTGTGTGGAGTGCAGCTGTAAAATATGGTTCCAGTCCAAGATGGGGCATCTACACAAGGGGAAAATCTACTTCTTCCTCCTAAAGAGGTTAGTAAAATGCATGACTTTTTAAAAAATCTTTATCTTTCTGGGGTCAAAGCAATGTTTTATATGTTGCATGCTCACAGCAGTGGTATGAGTTGAGGGTAGTTGACATGACAGTGACAGCAGTGACCTGCAGTGCTATACTAAAACACTTTTAACTGTTTTTATAATTCGTTTATAATTATCATTCAGTTTAGTGACCTCATAATCATCGAGCAACAACATTTGTACTTTTAAAAAATAATTTACACTGTACACTGCAGGACTCGTTTTAGTTATTATTTTAAAGGGGTCATATGATGCTGCTAAAAAGAACATTATTTTGTGTATTTGGTGTAATGAAATGTGTTTATGCGGTTTAAAGTTAAAAAAACACATTATTTTCCACATACTGTACATTATTGTTTCTCCTCTATGCCCCGCCTTTTTGAAACGCGTCGATTTTTACAAAGCTCATCGGTCTGAAAAAGCGAGGTGTGCTGTGATTGGCCAGCTATCCAGTGCGTTGTGATTGGCCGAATACCTCAAGCGTGAGACGGAAATGTTACGCCCCTCACCATACTGTTGATGCCGTGTCCGGCCGGAGCGACGAGACATAAACATTAAAACCCATTACAAACGAGGCATTTGTTGCATCCAGTGGGGACATAATTACTGATTATAATGACTTATACTGTCTTTTTACGCGTTGCGTTGCGCCGCGTAAACATAAAACCCTGTCTGCATTTGTGATCAGAGAAATTACAAACAACAAGTGCTACTCCACACTGCCCAAAACTCGCGTTTGAATCATCAGTGGCAAATGATAAAAGAAAACGTACTTACGTGAGTCAGAACTGCCGGCATTTTAGTCTAACGTTACTCTTCCAGGATCAGTAAACAGTCCTCCATAAAATGTGCTGGCGATCCACAGCACTAAGTTGATGTATTTCCTCAGCGACCAGCATGGATCAGCTCTAGGCATGACGAAGCGGATATTGTCCTCTTTTGGAAGACCAAACAAAGTAGTTTTGCTTTCACAACGAAACACACAGCGTCTCGACATGGCGACAACGATACTACAGTGAGAATAAAAGTTACGGCTTCTTTCTTTGCGTGAACATTTGGGCGGCGTTATGCAAATCTTCCCACATAGTGAGGTAGATATGTGGGGGCGTGTTCGAACGAGCCGTTTTAGGTAGGTGTGGCTAACTCTTAACTTTTATAAAGAATATCTCTTTGGATTTGAGACTTTAGTCTTTGCAACTTTACAGATCTTCTTTATGCACCAAGAGCTTGTAACACTCTAAAGAGAAAGGAAAAAATGAAATCGCATCATATGACCCCTTTAAATGCAAAACAAAAAGAAAAGAAAAAGAAATTGAAATGGTGACCAGTTACATCAATAGAAACATTTTAACATAAGTCTTGATGTTAAAAAAATAAAATAAAATAAAAGTTCATATAAAAAAAAAAACTGGTCTCTGTTACAGGGGACATACGTTACCATTCATTCCGTTTATTAAATGTTATCACATATTTTTCAGTAAGACCAAGGTGCCTTTACTTTCTGCACACTAGCAACATTCTAAACCCATGATGGTGGGTCATGATGAAGTTTCCTTACTGCTAATAACAAGGAAGTGCTGCAGAGAAGATAAGCCAACAACATTTGCATGGGCATGTTCAATGTGTAACCCGACACTTGATAACTGATTACAAAAGGGTTTATGAGATATTATTTTATAAATGATTCCATTTCTGCTGGATATTTTATAGCAATAAAAATAGGAATATCAGGAATTAGAATAGACAACGTTATGACGTAATGATATTGTACGTTATGATGTAATGAGTCTATGCATAAATTTTTGTGTCTGAAAAGTGCTGTCAAACGATTAATCGCGATTAATCGCATCCAAAATAGAAGTTTTTGTTTACATAATATTCAGCACTAGTCTGAATACATGTTAGCAGACAAGGTATTTTCATGTACTTTCTATATCAGTTTGATGACTGCAGAAGTGTTGCAGATTGTACATTAATTATCAAGTACTCTCTTTGTTTCATTTGTTTATATCTGTAGAGCCACATTGAAAGTGCAGGGTCCAGCCGGATCCGACAGAGGCAGGTACTGTATAATTATTTATGCTTTCTTTCTTTCTAAATTTCTGCATTTCTCTCCAGATTTCTGAATTTAAATGAAACTCTTCTTTCTCTCTCAGTCCTCCCCTGCACGGAGAATGGGCATGACCAGAAAACTGAACAGAAAGGTAAGGACTTATTCATTCTATAATTTCTCACAATTTTAAAACTCTATTGATGCTATTTTTTTTTTTTAAAAGGACAATGTATTATGTAAACAAATTATTATATTTGCTACGATATAATTTAACCATCAGGATTTCAAAGACTCTGAGAACCCAGAGGAGAGTGAAAACAGACATAAAGAGAAGGAGGTAATGATTCATCAGAGACTAATAACTTCAAGTATTTTCCTGTGAGTTTTGTGGAATAATGACTATTATTGTCCCTGCAGCTCAAACCGCTGTACAAGGAGCTTCTGTACACAATCACTCATATGTTAGGAAAACCACACACAAAAGAGCAATACAGTGCCAAGCAGTTACAAAACTATATCAAAGAGGTAACACACCTTTCTGGATTTGTTTGTAGTCTCATATATTTTACAGTATTGTTGTTATTTTATTGTTGCATTTTTTTTTTTTTTTTTAAATGTGTCTTAAATATTCATTCTCTGACAGGCATTCACCATGACAGAAGATGAACATAAAACCTTAAGTGAAAAAGTCCAGAGCATGCTGGTAAGAATAATGTCATAAAAATATGATAATGTAATCTCATGTGTAATGTAATCCACGTGTATGTAATACATAAGACCTATACCACATGTAAAAAGCCTTTAAAGCCATTGGCTGTTCACTACTGTGTGTGTGCACTTGGATGGGTTAAATGCAGAGCACAGATTCCGAGTATGGGACATAAGGACACCATACTTGGTCACACTTCACTCACTCACTCAATAAAAATATGTGATATTATTTTAGTCTGTATATCATTATGTTTATTATGTTGTTATTTACTGAATTACATATGTAAATATCTTCACGAACAGGCCCCGATCTACTGCCTCATGGTTACAGTGAAACAAGCCAAGGGAATTCTGGGAAAGGACATTAGTGGTATGATTATATCTTCTTTTTTTTTTTGACCAAGGGTTGTTAATTTTACAGTTTAGTATTGATAAACATACAAAAACACAAACATTGGTATTACTGCATAATGGATTTTCATGATTTTAAAACAACTACTATCCAGACAGCCTCTACATGTATCTAAATATTTGACAACAGGATTCAGCGATCCGTACTGCCTGCTGTCGATCCTTTGTGAACACAAGGAGTCTCATGGTGGTGGATCATCCAATAAACCTCAGAAAGCAGTAGTGCGGGATTCAGCTAAAGGACAAGTGTTGCAGACAACCATAAAGAAACAGACACTCAACCCCATCTGGGATGAGACCTTCAAACTGTGAGTAGGCATATCTTCCATAGAGAGAGTATTTGACCAGCTATACAACTTGCTGATTGATTGATCGTTTTGTCTGAACGCTTGCTTCTTTTTACAGGGAATTTGAAGACATCTCAAATGCCAATTTCCACATTGAGATGTGGTGCGTGGAATGAACTTGCTTTATTTTTTTAGAAATAAGAAATACTGGTTGTATTGTACTGTATATTTTATAGCATGTTTTAATTCTAAGCACCACAGTGATGTTTGTTTTATAGGGACAAAGATGAAGAGGTGTCACTAGTGCAAAAATTTGATGAGTTTCGCACAAATATCCATGGACTTAAAAGGTTTAAAATCTTTAAAGCTTTTAAATAATACAAACCATTTTAAATAATTAGTATAAATGGTACTGGCATCTAATTTAATTCTGAGTGTTCCACTGTCTCTTCACAGGATGATAAAAGATGCAAAAAAAGAGAAAGGACAGGATGATTTTTTGGGCAATGTTGTTCTAAAGCTGAAGGTATATTGCATAACACTAGTCAATGCTCATCAATTTCATTTTCCATATATCAATTCCAGTTACCAGTTCTTACCTCAGACACATACCTTTTTATGTCATATTTAAAGTAGTATTATAATATAATATTTTATAATATAAAGTACAAAGATATCTCAATTTCTCATATTTAGTTTCATGGCATGTGCTTCATGTACTTATGTGTGTTGTGGGCAGGAACTGCATTGCACAGAGGACACATGGTATAACCTGGAGCCCCGAACAGAGACATACCCAGACAGAGGACAGTGTCATCTTCAGCTTAAATTCATTCATAAAGAGGTGAAAGCTTGTTTTCTCCTGTATCAGCAGGCCATCAAGTTGTCTAGTACTTCAAAATTGTGGTATTTGTTTGGTGACTCGTAAAGATCACAAGGGGATCTGCAAAGTGTCGCAAGTACTTTTTTTTTTAAAGAAGTGTCATTTTAAAATATCTTTTTAAAAAGTGAAGTGCAACTGTATGAATGACCAGAGCGTGTGGTCTTATTTTCAGTTCATCTTGAACTAAATATTTTAGAAAACTGAACCTAAATATCTATGCATTAGAATGTGTGGCAGGGTTATTATAATTAACTAAAACTAAAAGTATTAACACATTGTTAATTGAAATAAAGCTGAAATAAAATAAAATCTAAGTATTAGATAAAAAAATTGATGGAGATGAAACTGCCTTGACAACTAACTGCAATAAATATGAGTTAAAGCACTAAAATTACTGGATACATTGTTAATTGAAATAAAGCTGAAATAAAATAAAATCTAAGTATTAGATAAAAAAAATTGATGGAGATGAAACTGCCTTGACAACTAACTGCAATAAATATGAGTTAAAGCACTAAAATTACTGGAAATAAATAAGAACTAATTCTGAAATAAAAACGGATTAAATCTAAATGGTAATATTTAAGAAAAAACCCTAATACAAAAGACAAAAGCACATAAAATTACAAAACTATACTGATGTGAAGTAAGCTATCTAAAGTGAAAGACACTCAGTGTGACAAAGTTTTGAGATATAATCTGGAAAAAAGCGTCTGTTTGTACACTGGTCTTGGCACCTTTGAAACAGACCAAACCAGAGATGAACATTGCAGACTGGCTATTATACTTCAGATATTTTATTTACTCAGTATTGACTGAATGACAGATCCTTAATTTGAATTTAATTTGATTCATTTATTACAGAGAGATGAGACCCTGAGTGCTGGACGGAGTCCTTATGTGAACTACTGTGGCATCCTGCAGCAGTTTGTTCAAGCCCATATCTCCAAACAACAGGTACGTCTTTAACAGAGAATTTTTGAAAGCTTCTCTAAACATGATGAAATATCTTAAATATCCACTGGTTGTGTAAGCGTCAAAATCACTTCCTGCTGCGCAGTACTTTTTATATACTGTAAAGTTTATACTCAGCTTTTCATTTCACAACACTGTTTGCATCTCTCTGTTTTTCAATGCTACTCTACTCTCGCCCCTCAGGACAGTAACCCGTGGAAGGGAGAGTTGTGTGGGGAGGGGACGGCCCTGCTCGAGCACTACGCCAACCAGAATGACATTTCACCTTTTCTCCAAGACTTGGCGTAAGAGCATGTGATACTGTACATCACACTGATCTGGAAGCAAGACTGATAAAATAAGAACAAAAACAGCAGACCACACAGTGTTGATTTGTGCTTTTTAGGGACAGCTTTTAACTACATACCCAGTACGCTGAGCTCAACAGTGTCAGCGTGCTGTTTAAATGTAATGAATGGAGCACATGCTGATGGATTTAAATCTCTTTTGCATATGTGTGGGTTGTTTGTGGTGCTACACAGGAAGTGGGTGGCCTACAGCAAACTTTACCAAACCCTGGAGGTGGACTCAACTGTGCTTTTCCAGCAGCTAACCAGTATAGAGTACCACTGGGACCAACAGGAACTCCCCTACCTGCAGGTTGGTGATTCTTGAGGGGTATTTTGCCCCTGTTATATGAAAGCTGAAGCACACAGATTTCAGAGTGGGTGTAGTTACAGAATTAGAAAGTACTTTCTACACTGCATCACGAGCAGGGATGTTGCAACAGTGTCATGTGATGTTTTTAGCAATTTATCACATAAATCATCAGTGTTGTAGGCTGATATCAAGTCATCAAGTCTCATCGTCATGCTGTGGTAAAGCTGAGCTGTTTTTGCTGTCACAAGAAAGCTCAACATTTTTTACATGACAAACATTTCAAATACTTTTGTTCTAGTCATTTTTGTGTTTTGTGACATATACTGTATGTATGTGTGTCTGTCACTTTTATTAATTTAAAACACTTTTATTTAGCAAGGATGCATTAAAGAGAGAGTTCACCCATACATGAAAATTCTGTCATTACTCACCCTCAAGTTGTTCCAAACCTGCATGAGTTTAAAAATATATTTTGAAGAATGTCCGTAACCAAACAGTTGCTGGTAAACATTGACTTCCATTTTTGTCATACTTATACAAACTCATACAAACAATTATAGGGTGAGTAAATGATGACATAGTTTTCATTTTTGGGTGAAATATCCGTTTAGTACATCCTTGCTGAATAAAAGTATTAATTTCTTACAAAAAAAAATATTTCTAAAATTTTAAAACCAAATCAGAGAGAGTTCACCCATACATGAAAATTCTGTCATTACTCACCCTCAAGTTGTTCCAAACCTGCATGAGTTTAAAAATATATTTTGAAGAATGTCCTTAACCAAACAGTTGCTGGTAAACATTGACTTCCATAGTATTTTTGTCATACTTATACAAACTCATACAAACAATTATAGGGTGAGTAAATGATGACATAATTTTCATTTTTGGGTGAAATATCCATTTAGTACATCCTTGCTGAATAAAAGTATTAATTTCTTACAAAAAAAAATATTTCTAAACTTTTAAAACCAAATCAGCATATTAGAATGATTTTTGATGGATTGTGTGACACTGAAGCTTGAAGTAGTGGCTGATACATATTCAGCTGAGCTATCAATGGAATAAGTTACATTTTAAAATATATTAAAATAGAAAACATATTAAAAGCACGTTAAACATGTATGCATGCTAACAGAAACAGGAGCTTGGTGACTCTCTACATGGGTTTCTGCAGTATGGACTCTGCTTAGTATCCAAATACAGGGACATCTATCCTCCAACCCCTAAAACAACACCACGGCTACTTACACTGCTCAGGTAACACACATAAGTTAGCAATCATTCATTTTTATATTAATATATATATATATATATATATATACTGTACACATACATTGTTTTTATGCAAAACTTTCAAAAAGTATATTTATGTTTTGGTTCATGTAGAGTTCTTGTTCAGATTTGTAAGACCCGAGCATTTCAGAAGCTCAATCCTGCTCAGTTTGACTTACATGTTGAGGTCACAGATGCTGTTGTTGTGAGTAACAAAATATTGTTAAAAACTATTCACTATAAATATCTTACATCATACTGTACATCACAGTAAAATACCTTTGCACACCTGTCCGAAATAATATTTTTCTGTGTATTTGAGAACAAACAGGCCAGTTTTTGGGCATTATATGTGCGACTAGTCACCTAAACCATGTTCCTTTTCTCCCAGAATGGCACAGAAGAGTGGTTTAACATCAAAAAAGGTTTACATCAACCCATGACCAAGGTAAGAAACCATGCAGATTATTGGCATTCATTCTATATGTGAATAAAACATATATTATTCCAGTAAGTTTAGATGTGAGTTCAGGTTCTTCATAAGTGCTCTTTGACAGGATCCGTTAGAGACCATCAGCGCCCTCTCTCGGTTGATTGGAGAAGTGCAAGAAGACGTTCGAGTCAGTAAAGATGTCTGGAATAAGGTGTTTGTCAGGTAAGAATAATGAACTGTAGGTTTTAAAATGTAAATCTAGTTTGAGCGATGAATGGAACTCAAGCAAAGTTCAGGCAGACCACGGCATGCTTGCAGCATCAGCTGATGCTCAGCTGATCGTAACTCCTCCCACAACAATTAATAAGATATATAAGTTAATCTGTACTCACACTTGCCATAGTCTGTCGCACAGACATGCGCTTACCCTCCTCCATCCCCAACTCCTCCTTTTGCAGACACATGATCATTTAACTGCTCGCCCACGGAGATATATCATCTATCCAGCTCATTGCTAAATTTTTCCAAATTTATCCACAGTACTGTATTACTCTACTTGGAATATACAACTGTTGCATATAAAATATCTGCCAATTGCTTAGGCTTCAGGGGGGGTTCAAACCTCGGCGAGGTTTGCCTGTGGATAGCTCAGAATCTGAACCCTTCAGAGCGAAGCCTGCCGCCAAATATAAAGTTCAGGACCTCTACAATAATCTTACTCAAACAGAGTGGTCCTGACTGAACTAATGCATATATAATATCATCTATAAGGTTTAGCTTTTTATGGTGTAATTTGGTCAGTTAACTAACTGCTAAACATTGAATTTCTTCAGGATGTCGGAGCTGAATATATGTGCTGCTCATTGGATGTATTTTCATTGAGAAGGCCTAATCTGAACAGTTCTTGAACTGTTTTTTGGCCATCTTTGTGCCACTAAAACGAATGGACAGTTAATTTGACAGCCATTCCTGTCCATCACGTCACTGACGAGATGTAATGACTGTCTTTATAATAAAATAGGCCTACTCTCTCTCTGTTTCCAGTGCTGTGCAGTTGGATGTTTTCACGGTGGTTTACTGGAAACTGGACTCTCTGGTGAGAATCAAGAAATATACTATATAATATATAAAACTACTGTGCATTTTTTCTCTGATCAGTCTTTTTCTATGGTCAGTATATCATTGGTTGTCCCTTATTTGTGTGTGTGAACAGCTGGCTGATGAGTTACGAGCTACCCTCTCTCAGTTGGAGAATCAAATGGATCAGCCGTTGGCAAACAGCCTGTTTCCTGTTTATCTCACTTTGCAAGCCATCCACAAAGACAAAGCCTTCTTACAAAAAAGGTCAGTCAGTCCTACAATCAGCTGTAACTTCTGAGTTGTTACATACATTACACATTATTTTATGATGTACAGTACTCAAAATCTGTTAAAATCTCAACCCAGTGTACTGACTTCCTTAGCATCTAGGATAGTTCACCCAAAAATTCCAATTTACTCACCCTCAGGCCATCCACGATGTAGATGAGAGTAAAGATGGATCCTCTGCAGTGAATGGGTGCCGTCAGAATGAGAGTCCAAACTGCTGATAAAAACATCACAATAATCCACAAATACGTGATCCCATTGATTAACATCTTATTAAGTGAAATGCGTTTTTTAACTTTAAATTGGAGTAAATTATCAGATTTTTATTTTTGGGTGAACTTTTCCTTTATTCCTTTCTTCGGTGGAACACAAAAGAAACTATTTTGAAGAATGTTGTCAACCAAATGGTTTTGGGTCTCACTGACTTTCACTGTATGGACACTGTATGGACTGCTTGGTTGCCAACAACATTCTTCAAAATATGATCTTTTGTGTTCCACAGAAGAACAAAAGTCATACAGGAACAACATGTGAGGGAGTAAATGATGACAGAATTTTCAGTTTGAGTGGACTCTCCTTTTAAACATGAAGTTTGGATTTCTCTTTTAGGGGGAAGTTATTGCAGCTCACAAGTTTCCATGAGGACTTCAGAGATGCTCTTCCATACTGGTTAAACAAAGCCTTTAGCACCACAATGGAGAGGGTGGAAAAAGCTGTGCAAGTGGATCAGGTATTATGCTCTAAAACACTTTTTTAGTAAAAACAGTTTTGTCATTCTACTTGTGAATTCCCATTAAGCAAAAAGTTCAAATAGCTGAAGGGAACTACACACTCACATTCTCTTTCTCTCTTTTCTAGTTGCAGCCGCTGCAGAGCGGAGGAGTTCCCATCAAGCACAGCTCTTCTGCAGTGGACATTGCAGCATGTTTGCATCCTGTGGCTCAGCTCTGGGAGCAGTTGAGCTGGCCTGACCCGGAGGAGGCCTTCATGCTTATGGTCAAACTCACAGAGGTACACACATACACACAAAGTTTAGCATTTCATTGAATTGTAGGATGTATAAATATGCATTGTTTGTTACAGGATGTGTGTAAGATTGCATCAACATACTGTCAGATGCTGAAGGCTAGAGTGAAGGAGCTCTCTGTGGACTCAGATCGCGAAAGTGCAATAAAAATGGTGAGTTGATGATGATGTGGTACTCTATGTGGTGTGTGGTCTTTAACTTTGCACTGTGTTTTAGCTTGATCATCTGCATGTTTTACCCTAACTTCTCATGGTTTATGTATATTTAGCTGTGCGTGGTAGTGAACGATCTAGAGCATCTGCACACAGTTTTGACACGTCTACCGCAGCAGCTAAACTGGGAGGGGCTCCGGGAACGCACGCGACACGTGATTGGAGATACTCAGTTCCAGAACACACTTCCATCACAGCTGCAACACACACAGTCCGCCCTGAACCGAGAGATCCGCTCTGCAGTTGAAACACTCGGGAAAAAGGTAGCATAACTGGGATTACAGCATCAATAGCGTCAGTTAAAGTCTCACATCTACATGAGCTCTTCCTGAGAAGGTGCAATAAGACACTTTCACAACAACCAGAACACACATTTTACCATGTTTCTTGGGGTAACAGTTTATTTTGACAGTCACCTTTTGACATTTTGCTTACTGTAAGTAACTTTGCAACTACATCAACTAACAGTCATTAGAGTATTATTAGACTGTCTGCTTAATATCTGAGTACACTTTATTTTGATGGTCATTCTATTGACTATAAGTAACTTTGCAAGTACATGTCATCTTATTGTAACTGTAACCTTAACCTAACAGTCTACTAATACTGTAATGAGAGTTAGATGACATGTAGTTGCAAAGTTAATAGATCTAAAGTGGACTTGAAATCAAGTGTAACTGTTTCTTGCGTCTCTTTTTAGTTAAACACAGACATTGAAACACATGTTCGCAACATGGCTTCACGTCAAAGGCTTCCCTCCAGATCTACAGAAGACGTAAGAGAAATGTTGTGTCAGCCTGAATCATAAAATGACATTTTTCGAAACCATTGCAACACTGAGTGTCTGGCTCTCTTATCTCCAGGCCGTGGTTCCTTTGATGAAATATCTTGAGAAAGAACTGCAGTATATGAATGAGAATTTGGTTCAGGAGAATTTTAATAGGTATCTCAATGTTTTTTTCAACCTGCCTATATCTATATTTTGGTTGTTTTTACTTTAGTTGATCAGCCTTCATGATGTGTTTTAATTGTCTCTTTCAGTCTTCTTACTCCACTGTGGATGAACTCGGTTAAGATTCTGCATCAGATGTCTCTGCAGGAGGACAGTAACCTGGTTTACTTTCAGAGATTACTGTACGCACTGCAGGTTAGTTTTTTAGCCTAATGCTAAATATTACACTTTAGCGTGTAACTGGACTCATACTGTTTGTGAAAGAGACACAAACGATACCACAAAGAGTGTGGTTTGTTTCTAAACTGTCAGACTTAGAATCCACCCAAGAACACATTAAAACACTCAGAACACCTTAGCAATGCCTTGGCAACCACCTTATATTTTCTTCAGAAATGTACTTTTATTTACTTTTTTTTTTCTCTGGCAGTGCTTAGAACAGTGTTTTCATGCTGAAGGGAATGGACTTTCTCTTGAAACACTACATACTGAGGAATATAAGGTCAGTGTTATTCTTTTGTGCTCGTCATGTGTTGTTTTCTTCCCTTTCGTTCCCATTCAGATATGAGTATTTGATTTTTGTTTCCTCAGACGCTCCGGGCAAACCTGACACAAAACTCTTTAAACTGTAATCAGCTGATAGAGAAGTTCTTTGAGAGAAAGGTGTGGGAACAGGTGAGGAACTCACCCTGATCAGGAAATCATCCATAAGACCCAACGAAGTGTTACTGACCTGGATTTGTTTACATTTCCTACAGAAAGTGTTTAATGGAGAGAAATACGGAGCTGTTACTCTCATCACCTCATACAAACGCTCAGAGAACAAACTGCATGTAGAGGTTCTCAACGCCGTCAATCTAATTCCTCTCGACTCAAATGGTAAGACAAACACATTTTATACTATGCTGGTTACTCTGTGGGATTTATAGAAGAATTTGATAAATCAAGAGCCAGTAGGCTTGTATCAGTGGTGCTCTGACACTGCCAATACTTGAAATTATCTGAATGTCATTGCTTTACATGAATATCAGAATTGGCCGCGTTGAGTCTATGAAACTGCATTTTGTCCATTACAGGTTCCAGTGACCCTTTCGTTCAGCTGTCTCTAGAACCAAAGCACATGTTCCCTCAAGTAGAACCGCGATCCACCAAAATCAAGAACTGCGATCTCAACCCGTTGTTCGAAGAGTCCTTTGAATTGTATGTAAACGTGCGGTTTCAGTTCATTTTTAGAATCCAAAGTCAAACAATGCACCCTCTTCTCTCATAGCTCCCACCTACTAGATTCATAGAAGAGTGAAAGGGAAAAGCATGAAAGCTTATTTCCACCATGGAATAAAAAAAAAATAGAAAAAAGTAATCTCACAATTCTGTCTTTTCTCAAATTCTGCGGGAAAAAAATGTATAAATAAAAAAAATTGTGAGATGTTAACTTGCAATTGTGAAATATAAATGAGCAATTCTAAGAAGAAACGTGAGAACTGTGAGATACAAACTTGCAATTGCGGGGAAAAAGTCAAAATGGTTAGAAAAGTTGCCTTTTTATTTTTTTATTCCATGGCATTAAAAAAAGAACACAAAAACAAAATTACAAGATTTAAAGTCAGAATTCTGAGAAAAAGTGAGAATTGCAAGAAATAAACTCACAATTTGAAGGAAAAAAAATAGAATTTTAAAATAAAAAGTCACAATTTGAAGGGAAAAAGTATGGAAGCCCGTTTCCGCCACTAAATAAAAAAATAAAACAAGGTAATTGCGACTTTTTATCTCACAATTCTGACTTTTTTTTTCTCAGAATTGTGTGATATAAACTCGTAATTCTGACTTTTTTTCTCAAAATTGCGTGATATAAACTCGCAATTGTCAGTTATAAAGTCAAAATTGCGAGTTATAAAGTCGCAATTCTGCCTTTTTTTTTCTCGGAATTGCAAGTTTATATCTCGCAATTTTAAAAAAATCTGAATTGCGAGATATAGTCGCAATTACCTTCTTTTATTTTTTATTCAGTGGCGGAAACAGGCTTCCTTAAAAAAAAATCCCTCTTATTCTTAAATAAAGTCTTCTATTTACCACACACTCGAATAATCACACTAATTCCTTCAAAACTACATGGATGGCACATTCAAATGTCCATTTCCAGCTCTTTTTGTGGAAAGCCCAAACTGAGGGGTTTTAAAGCCTTTCAGTAACCTGTATCACCTGTGTTCACTCGTAGGCCCAATCCATATTAGGTAGCCTATTAGCAAATACAAACTGTTAAACTGAATAGAGATGGCTGGCTTTAGATTGTTGTTTTATGGTTGTAATGCAGTTTCTGTCCTCTGGGGGGAACAGTATCATTTCATTAGATCAGTGCCAGTCTCCTGGAGCGTGTCTGATGGTGACAGTGCTGGACCATGACACTTTGAGGAGCGATGACTTCGAAGGAGAGGCGTTCCTCTCTCTTAAAGCGGTGCCAGGAGTCGGAGGTGTACAGAACAATCCCACACCCGCACAGATCCGCTTACCTTTGATGCACCCCAAACCCAACAGTATGTCACTTCCTGTTATACGCACAACATTTACTTGTGCATTAAGCAACTAAATGTCTGTACTGTTTATGTCAAATTGTTAACAGGTAGATCATGTTTCACAAAAGAAAATAATGTGAAGTTGGAATAACAAAATTAACACTTTTTTTAGTCAACAAGGACACATTAAATTGATCAAAACTGACAGTAAAGACGTTATGTTACAAAAAAAAATTATATTTCATACAATTGCGGTTCTTTTGAAATTTCTATTCATCAAAGAACCGAAACAAATCATGGTTTCCTCAAAAATATTGATTATAGTAATACATGTTTCTTAAGCACCAAATCAGCATATTATAATGATTTCTGAAGGATCATGTGACACTGAAGACTGGAGTAATGATGCTGAAAATTCAGCTTTGCATCACAGTAATAAATTACATTTTAAAATATATTCAAATAGAGAAAAAAGTTATTTACATTTTTTTTTATCAATATACACACCCATAGCTACTAATTTAAAAACTTTTTTGACAGTAGTGTCTATATATATTTTTGTATTACTTTTTTTTTTAGATGTCATGTGTAGCAATTCAATATGACCTCGTGCTGTCTGTTTTTGTAGGTGAAAATACCTTGAAGTTACTTGAGGCCAGGAAAGGCGAGAGAGAAGCTCAGGCCTTCGTTAAATTACGCAGACAAAGAGAAAAGAAGTCTCAAGAAATCTAAGAGGACAAAAAGATGAATGAAAACATCCAACTTAACATTATTCGTTTCCCTTTTCTATTATTTGTTATGAAAATATTATTTAATGTAGTCTTTTAATTATTGTAAGGAAGTGTAACGATGATCTTGTTATTATTTGATATTAAAAATTAAACATACAACATTTTCATCCAAAAATATACATTTGTTTATTGTCTTTTACAAAATCAGACTGAAACACTGTATATGAACAAAACTGAGCAGGTGATTTCTGAATTCACAGTGAAGCTCTGTTTCAAAGGAAGTCATCTGTTGAGCATCCCATATAACTGTGCCTTCAAACTGAATTCATATTAAATCATCTAAAGAAATGGAAACACACTGAAGTCAAGCCCTCTTCGACAGCCGTAGCTTATGCTCTCATGTTTGCTAATCAGTGCACGTGAATTATTCTCTTCTCCACTGGTGTCGGACATGTGTTCAAATAAAACGCCTCTACGTGAATGGAAAGCTGCAGTTGGGAACGTGTTGTTGGTTTAGTAAACAGGCAAATTATTCAATCAATGCATTAAATAAAATATGCACATTATGTGAATTACATTAAAAAGAGTGTTTGCCTTCTTGCTCTTGCACTCAAGTTTACCATGACTCCTAAACAAAAAAAAAACCTGAGAACGGAAAGCTGCGAAACCGTATTTATTTTCCATTTTGCTGTATAGCAGTTCCCTGGAATTTCTCCTTTAAAAAATCCTATGAATGTAATTGTAAATTTCCTATATAGCTACTAACTATACTAAAATCTGTATTTATTACGAAATCTCCCCATCTTGGAAAAAAAACACAAATGCACTGCTGCATTGAAGATGCACATACTGCATTTCTACTGTAAACATTTCAGAATGTTCTGGAAAGACATTCCGCATTTCAATTTAAACGTGTTTTTTAAAAAAAGAATAGGATTGTCTTACTATATACGTGTATGTGTTATGCTTCTATATAAATCATATAGGGAATATGGGATTTTGGTATCTTGCTCTTCACTTAAATATTTCCTTAAAATCTTTAAATGTGTTGTCATGTAAGCACTAACTAAATTATTAGTGCTAGACCAGATCTGAATACTAATACAAGTTATATTTGCTCTGTTCCCATTTAAAAGACATGGAAAATGATTACAATGAGACATAAGCATATTATTATACTGTATCCGTGAGTTCCCATTTAAAAGACATGGAAAATGATTACAATGAGACATAAGCATATTATTATACTGTATCCGCGATGTTTTGTCCCCACAATAAACATGAAAATATCACAAACTGCTGATGTATGTCAGTTTCTCTAGTAATTTTCTTTCTTTTTGAAAATATAATGGTCCCATTGAGGTCTAGAACTGACTGCATGCTAATGTAAAGGATATGGCATGACGTGTCTTATTGATATGGTCAATATTAATCAAACTAGATCATATTTATCAATTAAGTCTCAGCTTTTAGTTAAGATAAGGCTTTGGGCTCTGTAGGTTACATTTAGCCGTAGTTGTAATGGGAATTTGAGTGAAATGTGAATGAGATCTAGTGAGGGGTCAGGGTTTGTGTCTAGTGTGTGGATTATAGCAGATTAGGATTATGACTGCGGGATATTCATGCTCTGCTGGTGTTCGGTGCACAGCGGGCATTCTGTCGAGGCTGCGCATCGTTCGCAATGCAGGCCATGTTGGCATGGCAACGTCACTGATCCCATCTCATCGCAAGATACACAATATAATCTCTGCTTCCTGAACACAGCCTGAAAGAATAGAGAAGAGAGATTCAATGCAATCCAACATGCCTTAATCTAATTGGGCTCTATTGGTACATCAAATTATTAGGTGAACCTCAAAGAAATGTCAAGGTCATATTTTACCAGAATCAAAAGGAAAAAAAGAAAGAAATTACACTTTTTTTATTAGCAAATTAACCTTATTTTTTAGAAAGTAATATTATTTTCATTACAATGAAACACATTTCCCCTCTTTCATTAAAAAATTATTTACATTTAATCTTAAAAAATTAAAAAATTTTAAAGCACAATTTCAAGTAAATGTCACGGTAATTTTTGTTGTTCAGAGCAAAAAATAAATAAATAAATGATACTTAAAAGTTATACATTTGTAAATTTACTGTAAATCAGCCTAAAATTAAAAATGACTTTTAAAAAAAAATTTTTTTCTAAAATATAATATAATAAAGCAATGCCTAGGTTATATATTACCAGAATCAAATGAATTTTTTTTTTTACATTTCTCATTAGGAAATGAATCATAATTTGAAAACCACCCTCCACCCCAATTATAAATAATTGTAATTTAATTACAAATATTTTAAAGCACAACTGCAAGTAAGATTAATATAAAATAGAAATGTATATATAATAAATTATAAATGGTAATATATTAGAAATTGTAATTATATAAATATTATATTTAATATAAATTGTAATATAGTGGGTAACACTTTACAATAAGGTTGCATTAGTTAACTTTAATGCATTAACTAATATTAACTAATGGGACCTTATTGGAAAGTGTTACCATATAATGCAATATAATACAATAATACTTTTATATTAAATAATATAAATAATTAGCATAAAAGTTTCAATCTCTTAATGGTATAAATATCAATTATTATTTTTCTTAATTTGATTTTTGAATGAAATAAAACCCAGACATTTCATGACAGTTTGATCAGGAGATTTATCAGTTGTGCGTGCATTACCTGTTCTACAGTGCGCAAGCAGGAGCAGATCTGTGTCTGCAGGCTGCAGATGGAGCTCAGTGGAAGTCTGTGCAGTAACTGTAGCTGGTGAAGCTGGAGATGTGGGTTTTCTGCGTGCCGTAGGCTCTCTAGTGCCTCCTCCAGGAAAGCGGCTTGCTGTTGCGCCTCCACTTCAGCCTGCCGCACTCGCTCCGCCTCCATACCCAGCTGCCCCGCCAAGAGACAAGCGTCCTCTGCGTCTGCTTTTAAAACCGCCAATGACTGCGGCAGGTAACAGAAAACATACGGTCAAAACACTAGCCATACTACAGGTCAACAAATAATTTGATTGAATTTATTAGTAACTCTATGTTATGAGTGGATTCTGTGCTAGAGAAATGCAAAAATATACTATTTGAAATTTAAATAAACATATTGAAATTTGAAGTTTTGAGCAGACACATTTTTAGGTGACATTTACATGAGATGTGTTCCAAAACAGAATGCAATATAATTTAAAGAAATATTGCTGACGTAAAGTAACAAAATAATAATGATAAAAATATTTACATGCGATTACATATTTTTATTATTTCTACATAAACACACATGTATACATAAAACATGCAATATAGATTTTACATTATATAATATAATATAATTTATTATTATGTAATTACTATGTAATCAGTATATTACTATGTATTTTGTATTATTTGTTTTATTATTGTTCAATTATATATTAAAAATAAATAATATAGGTTGTTCAGAAATCAGTATATTAACATATGACCGCCCAGCGCCTAATTATTCAGAAACTTGATGAACAAGCCTGAAATATGTAATATGGATAGCAAATCATAATATTTCCATATAGAAGTCTTTAAGATACAGAACCAATGTCATCCTGATTAATTTCTCAGAATCAGAAAAGGGTGGAAAATGAGAAGGTCATGGAAAACTAGGTGTTTTTGGCAGAAGAAACCCTGACTAACATCAGTGCAAAAAAAAAATAAAATTGTAAAAGTGGGAAATGTGGTTCTGCATGTACACAGTTCCCCATTGCTTTCACATAAACACACACACAAACACAGATGGAGTCTGACCTGAGCCATCTGTCTCCAGCTGTGGTCCCAGTGTTTCAGCACCCTGTGTGCCTCCTCCACTTCCTGTTTGAGACGTGACGCCTCGGTGTACATGCTCCCTGTGGAAAGCAGGGCAGGAGGGGTACCGGGCGAACTTTGGCATGTCGGAAAATGTTCCCAAATACTGCTGCTCATGCCATTTAAACCTACAAAAACAAAACAAAGCTATCATGCTTGATTGGATCTGCCACACAATCTATCCAGTTCATTACAGCAAAACAACACTGCTTTGTATTAAAAAGACAACTGGTAATTGCACATGTAAACAAGAAACGTTGACCTAGATATGTCACAGAAGCTCTAAACTCATTCTGATAGAGACTGCGTAACAGAGTGTAATATGGAAAGAAATATTACACTCTATTAAGCACTCTATTCACCAGCGCAAACCCTCATTTGGCGTTAAAATACAGCTGACATTAAAATTAATGAAAATAACACAAACCTAAAGAACCATGGGAGGTCCCCAAAAAGCTGCTCTCTGATTGGCTGGGTTGTGGCAACTGTGCAGAGAGGAATGGAGAGTGGTGGGCTCTGATTGGTGGAGAAGGTGAGGGCGATCTGAAAGGGGAGGGGCTACTGAGGGAGCCAGGAATGTTAACAGGTGCTGAACTCTGTAACTGACTGCCTCCTGAGGAAAACCATCACAAAAACAGAAATGAAGATGAATGTCAATGCTGAATTTTATGACACTACAGTTTACAACAGAATCTTTTTTTTGATAAGACTGTAAACTCGTCACCAACCCAACATGAGGCCCATGCTGGGTAAAGCTGAACTCTCCAGACTTTTCTCAAAAGCCGAGACTCCAAAGTCATTCAGGTCTAGATCATCCAATGCAGACTCTAGTCAAAAGCAGAAACAGACGCCGTTTTAAAAAATACAGAAGTCTTACGTCATTCTATTTAACAGTAAAGCTCAATTATGCATATTTTTACACATAATTATAAACAAATTAATAAAACAACACCAATTCTTAAAACAACATTTTGTGTTAGAAGAAATATAGAAGAAAATGAAACTTGACATGAGGGTGAGAAAATAATCATATTTAATAATAACATATACAGGGCCAGATTTATTATCAGCTTGTGCCAGCGCAAACCCTCATTTGGCATTAAAAACTACTGTCAGGATTTAATAAAGACACGCAGTGGGAAATTAGCGCTGAAAAGGCATGGTTATTTTTATACACCGTTATTTTTGCGACTCTCCTTATTGAATATGCATTTGTAGGAGATTCTCTTTCGATCTGTAAATTTAGGGGAGGAGAATATTTAAATGAATCACGCAACGCGATTTACTAAGATTTGCGCTCGTCAGTTCACTGGTATTTGCGGCATTATTTAATGCCCCCAAAAAAAGCATGTCTTAAAGCAGGCGGTAATTTGCGCTGCTCTTGGTAGACTGCGCTGGTCATTATGGAAATGAGATGTTGCATCTGTGTTCTTTAAATGTGCACCTTGTCAGTAAATCACTCGCAGAATTTTCCCTTCCCATTGGTGCTAAATTGCGCTCTAACTCTAATTTGCCCTGTTTAGTAAATCTGGCCCAAAACAAAACAAAACAAAATCTAATTTGCCCTGTTTAGTAAATCTGGACCAAAACAAAGCTTGGCCTATTTGCAATTTTCATTCATGTCTGTTTTGAATCAGTAGCTTCAGTACCTGTTTGCTGTGCATGGATGAAATGTCTCTGCTGCGCTGTTCCATTGAAAAACTTCTATGTCTGGCCTGTATGAAAAATATGAAAGTTAATAAACAAAAGACTTGTTTTTCATTTTATGGATATTTTTGGGGCTTATGTTCATTTGTATGTCAGCTATCAATCATTGGTCCAGGAATTAAATTAATTCAAAAGTCATTCAAAATAAGATTTTGTTTTAAGTTTTACTTTATAAAGAGATACAATAACATTTAAAAAGTTTGGGGTCAGCAATATTTTTTATTTATTAATTAATACTCAGCAAGGATGCATTAAACTGATCAAAATGACACTAAAAGTAGTCAAGTGTTACAAAAGATTGCAAATAAAAGCTGTTCTTTTGAACTTGAACTATTAATTCAAAGAATCCTGAAAAAAAAAAAAAACATTACAGTCTCCACAAAAATATTAAACAGAACAACTGTTTTCAATATTGATAATGTTTTTCGAGCATCAAATCTGCATATTAAAATGATTTCTGAGGAATCGTGTGACACTGAAGACTGGAGTAATGGCTTCTGAAAATTCAGCTTTGTCATTACAGGAATACATTACATTTTTAAATATATTAAAATAGAAAATTTTTATTTTTAAACTGCATGTTAATTCTATCCAATTAAATATTTTTGAGCTGAGAAAAAAACGCAACTTTAGAGATTTATAGATTATTCATTTTTATGACTTTTCCTAGCCTGGAATCATAAAATTCCCAGGTTTTGTATGACAATTATCTCAAAAACACAGAAGTCTTCTAACCGACGCCTTTAAATAAAAGCATTAATAAAGTGTTATTGCTATACCTGGTCTTCCCTCTCAAACCCAGGGGCTTTCCCATAACCCCCCTCTCCTCCTGGACTGGCGTCAAGACTGGAGGACTCCTCAAAAAGAACCCTTCCCAGCAGCCCTTCCTCTGTGGCGGCACTCAGCCCACTCTGATTGAAGTCTTCTAAGAAAGCAGAGCAGGAAGTTTCTAGAGGAGGTGAACTGCATTGTGCGGCCAGCTGCTCATCACTGACAGTCACTTCTGTGAAACAAAACAGAAACAACACACAATCATACAATCATCACCTTCACATTTACAATAAATTGGTATCTATTGGATAAGTTACCATGCAAGATTGGAGAACATCCAATACAATGTAGAGTCTAAATAGCATCATCACATGATAACTTTGCATGTGATGTGATTAACAAAATGTAAGCTTACTTTCTAAATGAGCAAAAGCACAGAACGGCCCTCTCGGACAGTTGCCACTCTGCATAATGTCATTGCATTTTGTGGATTTGTAGATCTGTGGAGGAAAAAGTTTATAATTAGATAAAATAAGAAAATATTAGTGGCGCTTGTTTTTTTCAAAAGTGCCAAAAAATATCAGGATGTTGCTGTGCTTCTAAGAGGGCCTAAAGATAACTTAAAATGATTTAAATTAAGAAAAAATAAGCTTGAAATATTTTAATATTAAAGATATTTCTTATATAAGATAGTTTCGGAACCTGGAAAAGTCATGTGAATTAATAAAAGCTTAACACGTCATTTGCATTTTTAGAAAGAATATATATTTGTTGTATATACCAATCTCTAAAATATTTTATCAGATCAAATTTGTCATGAAAAATATTCCAGTAAATCATGAATGACCGTAAGAGTCATGTAAATTAATTGGTTAAAAAGAGACGGAACCCTGAAGAACTTTCAGCTCCTAAAACTTAAATGTAGCTATTTTAATGTTATATTATTATATACGTTTTTTACTTTATAGAATTTACGAGTCTATCATTTTCTGATCCCTATACAGTATATGGCTCAGGTTGCTTTTTTCCACACTTCGTCAGATGTAAATCTTATCATCAGGAGTAATGACGCAGGTATGACTAACATTAACACCACTAATCAGTAACCTAAAAAAAAGAGCCACTTACGCCAAAGGGCCAAAAAAACTAGCAACCCTAAAGAGCATCACAAACACAACATAATCCAATAGTCACTATTTTATTATATTACATCCAAGTACCATGCAAGAAAACAGATGCCCTTGTTCTTACTTAAATGCTGATGTTAAACAGAGTCCAGCCGCATTAGATTGAGTGTGAAATACCTCCGGGTGGAACTGCTGTTCTGTCCGCGTGTGGCAGTACTGACAGCTTTCTCCGCTCTCACATTTACTCGGGTCCCCCCACTCATCACTGTGCTTCACTGAGGGACACGGCAGGGCTCTTCAGGAACAAAACACAGCACCATTTAAAATGATCATGATAGAAAACGTCTGTCACCTTCCTACAAAGCAGGAAATAAATTGAATTCAAATGGAAGTTTGAATACAAAGCACTCTGATTTGTCATTACTTTTTAAAGGAACAAATCATGGGGTTTCCAAACTGCAGGGGGTTTGTGAGTCCATAAAAATAATCAAATAAATAAATAATGTTAAAATACATCTACATAAAATACACTAACAAAAATGAAATAGTTGTATTGTTTACCTGCAAGTCATGTGACAATTACCTGACATCAGAGAACAAGACCACACAAAATGTATAGAAATATTAACCTTTGGTAAATATTTTAGTTTAAAGAGGTTCTGCTGAGCCAAAGTTTAGGAATCTGGAAATAAAGTAACTGTCAAGATCCGAAAAGAACTAAAAACGGCTTCGACTTATTACTCCCCCCAAACCCCCCCACCACCACCAAAAAAAGCTATCACATGACTTCAGAACATTTGGTATATGTGACCCTGGAGCACAAAACCAGTCATATGTAGCACGGGTATATTTGTAGCAATAGCCAACAATACATTGTATGGGTCAAAATTATTGATTTTTCTTTTATGCCAAAAATCATTAGGATCTCCTAATGAAATCATTAGGATCTCCTAATGAAATATAGACCTATGGTCTATATTTATAAATCTGGTATTGTTTGAAACTAGACACTTGAACCTTTGTTACTCTGGAGTCATAATAACTCAAAATTAGTATAGCAACAGAGTAAAACAAGGTAAATTGTACATGAAAGTGACTCACGATATCTTTGAATGAAATTCATTAAGGGAAAAATGGATGAGGCTTTAATGCTAATGGCCTGAAAACACCATAAAGATAAAGCTGAATGTCTGACCATACTTTGATTCAAATTTGAAAGTGAAAGTGACGTGACATGTGGCCAAGTATGGTGACCCATACACGCCTAAACACGCCCTTCGGGCCGGTGCGGGTTAACGGCGATTTTCTCAAAATTTTGATTTTTTTTTTGCACCCTCAGATTCCAGATTTTACAAATATTGTCCTATCCTAACAAACAATACACCAGTGGAAAGCTTATTTATTCAGCTTTCAGATGATGTAAAAATCTCAATTTTGAAAAATGTACCCTTATGACTGGTTTTGTGGTCCAGGGTAACAAACATATATTGTGCAAGTTGTTTTTGTCCTTTTTGGTCACTATGATGTGAACTGTTGTTGTATAAAAAATGATCTGCATAAGATAGTTTGTGTTCTACTGAAAGAAGTATTTGTTATACAGACCTGTATTTGTGTTTGTGAGGGCTCCGCCTGCGGTCTTTGCTGTTGTGATAGTAGGGACATGCATAGCCCTGACGGCACAAGCGGGGAGGTTTTTTGCAAAGCTCAGTCTTGTAGTGGGAGAGCACGAAACTATTGTCTGCATGAGGAGAAATGAGCACAGAACGGCATGATGAAGAATGACATATGCATATAGTGTAGGTTCATTTTAATGTCATGTGGAGAGGCTGCTTTCACCTTGCCAGCGTGGATCTTCACTCAGGATCTTTTCTATGAGTGCAGTGCTGGCCACGACTCCTGACTGCCCTTCTCCAGATGTTCCCTCAACCAATCCAGTAGCAGACTGGGCTTCTAACACCTGAACCTCTCTTAACAAGACATTAAAAATACAAATGTCAACCCCAAGGGAAAATATCCACAATGAACACCACTGTTCAAAATTTTAGGATCAGTATGATTGTTTTTTTAAATGAATGTATGATTGTTTTTTAAATGAATATGTTTATTCAGCAAAGATGCAATAAACTGATCAGTAAAGACATGAATAATGTTACAAAGTATTTCTATTTCAGAAAAAAGCTGTTTTTTAACATTCTATTCATCAAAGAATTCTGAAAAAAAAATATATATCACTGTTTTTTCCAAAAACATTAAGACACACAACTGTTTTCAACATTGATAATAATAAGATTTTTTTTCTTGAGCAGCAAATCAGCATATTATAATGATTTTTGAAGGATCATGTGACACTGAAGACTTGAGTAATGATCCTGAAAATTCTGCTTTGCATCACAGGAATAAATTACATTTGAAAATATACTAAAATAGAAAACGGTTATTTTTAATTGTTATAGTATTTCACAATATTACTGTTTTCACTGTATTTTTGCTCAAATAAATGCAGCCTTGGTGAGCATAAGAGATTCTTTCAAAAACATTATAAAAATCTTATCGACTCTAAACTACTGAACATTAGTGCATCATGATAATAAATGCAATTTAATTAATGACTTCAATTAAAGATGACTCTTTTGTGTCCCACAGAAAAGAAAGGATATATGTTTGGGACGACATGGTGAATTTTAAAATGTAAAACTGTCTACCTGATGTCATAGACAGGGCTACGGAGGTCATGGGAGCCATGAGCAAAGGCACAGTGAGGGCCGTTCTTACTGCAGTGGCCCTTCCCATCGGTCTCGTGGATACAGGAACCAGTCTTATAGTACCGCAGGTGATACCGCCTCTCTGTGTCTCCAGCTGTCCGGTGCAGAAATGGACACCTGGCAGTACATAGATAAAGAAAGGCATTAGTATAAATTCAAACAATGTGACTTAAAAAAGGAGTTTGTGCTGGTTCTTACTCATCTCCGTCGGGACATGTCCCCGTGCCCTCGTCGTATTTAACACAGTACACATCAGGGCTGTAAATAAATGTTCCATCTCGTCTGCGAACCGGCCTCCGTCGTCTCTGGTTCAGGAAGTGCCAGTGGAAGCAGGTGAAGGGCCGGTGCTGGGTGCACTTGTGCTGCACAAATAAGAGACACTGCTCTGTCCTAAACTCTTTCAGATACCTGAACACAGATAGAGAGACGGGAAGAGTAATGAAGAGTAAATGGTTTAATGGCAAAACTAACAAAACACTGAATGAAAGCATATTTGGACACCATTAGCTCACAGGTGCCCAATCCTGTTCCTGGAGCTCTACCATCCTGCAAAGCTCAGCTTCAGCCCTGGTCAAATGCACCTGAACCAGCTAATTATATATGTTATGTTCTGTCATGGTTATGACCTGCTTCAGGAATCATGAAAATTATAGTGGCAAAAAAAAAACATATCAGGCCTTTTACTGTTGTCATTTACAAGCACGAGGCCACAGAAATGAATTTTAAAATCTTAAAATGTCACGGAAATTTTTATAGTCAAAATATAGTTAACTAGTTATGCTCATCTATATGATACTACTAATACTACTAAAAAATTATTTTCAAAAAATGTTCACCCAGAAATCACTAATGACTGGATAGTCTTAGACCATCATTTTTTATGGTAATTTTGGTTCTATATTTGGTTCTATATTTAACTGGCTCTTTGTGAGTGCAAAAACTCATTACAAGCGACGGAAAAGTCACAGAAATCATAGATGTAGGCTAACAAAATTCAAGATTGAGTGAAAAACAAAACCAGACATTCATAAACACATATGATCAATCTCAAATCAAAATATTTTTTCAAAACATGTCAATGGTGGTTATAGCCATAATGGAAATATAAAATATTTAAAAAATGTCAGAGATGCCCTTTGATTTGCCCTCTCATATCATATCACAAGAGAGGGGGGGGAATAAATAAAAACATCCCAGTGAAGCATATTTGCATTTGTTTGTGCATTGGAATGTACAGAACATAAAGTGATTTACAAATTTAATTTGTAATACAATATAGGTAGATATACAGTAATGCAACCTTTACTTTTCATGGCCCTCAGTCAAGTTTGATTTTTGGCCCTTGGTAGTAAAACTTTGGGTGCCTCTGGTCTATAGTGATCATCAGTTGTTTTTTTTGTTTTTTTAGAAAAATCACTATAAAATATTTGTCTCCGATCATTATACAGCAACGAACGACTGGGCAAAGGCAAATTCATTGATCAAAAAGTGTGGGCACCCAGTTCCGTGGTGCTTCATGAGAGATCTCGATAGATGTAACTTTAAAAATGATTTCACGATGACATTTTAGACTAATGTAGCACTGTGTGGTTTGCATTCTTTATTGTGTTTACAAATCACCAGAGCTCTTGCCAGGATGCTCAAGTGCATCTTTCAAAACATCATATCAATGCAACGCATGCAAACAATCGCACTGTTACTAGGCCTCTATAAAACACAGCTCTTGATCCAGCTCATCACAGCCACAAAAACGCATCAGAGGCGTGTAAAATCGCTGATGCATGAAATATATGTGATTTGCATGAGTGATCAGGTGGGTGTAAAGGTGTTTCGCTACGTACGTGTAGTGCTGGGGTTTCTCGGGCTGTGCGTGCAGCACGTTAGCGGGGGACGTCGTGCCACCTGCCGAGGGTGAGGAGCAGGAGGAGGACGATGAAGGTCCCAGGTTGGCCGCGGCACCCGAAGAACCGGCCTGAGATGGTGCTTTCGACATGATTTATCAAATTATGGCCATCAAACAATTTAATATTGGGAGAGCTGCGAAGTCCGCATTCTTTTTCGATGTGCGCATGCGCCAGATCTGGCGAGGAGGAAATTCCGGGCCATTGTGATGACGTCGTAGTAGGAAGAGAATCGGTTCTTTTGAACAGTTCGATTCGAACGCCGCTCGGACCGATTCAGTTCAATGCGTGCACGACTTGTTGCGTGAACTGATTCAACTGATTCATGAAAAAGAGTCAAGTTAAAATAAAGACTCGTTCACTAAACGAACCTTGCTACGTCATACGAGAGTGAAGTTAGAGATAACGAACAGAGGTAAATCCCCGATTTAAGAGCGAGATGTGCTTCAAATTAAAAGTCGCGACTCGCAGATAAAGGTCTCCAAACGTGATAGTGATTTCTTTATGATAAAAACATAACACTTAAGGATGTTTGTCCGTGCCCTGCTTTTTATTTTTACACTTGATGATTTGAGAATATTCTTAAGAACATTTTGTGCTCAATGAAAGCAAGAACATCTGTCCTTTTGTTTATTTGAGTTTACCTGCTCAATACATTTGCATTTATTTGACCCTGGACTGGACAACAAATCCAGTCATAAGGATCAATTTTTGAAATTGAGATTTATACATCAAATAATAAATAAGCTTTCCACTGATGTATGGTTTGTTAGGATAGAACAATATTTGGCCAAGATACAACTATTTGAAGATCTGGAATCTGAGGGTGCAAAAAAAAAAAAAATCAAAATATTGAGAAAATCGCCTTTAAAGTTGTCCAAATGAAGTTCTTAGTAATGCATATTACTAATCAAAAATTAAGTTTTGATATATTTACGGTAGGAAATTTACAAAATATCTTCATGGAACATGATATTTACTTAATATCCTAATGATTTTTGGCATAAAATAAAAATCAATAATTTTGACCCATACAATGTATTGTTGGCTATTGCTACAAATACACCCGTGCTACTTATGATTAGTTTTGTGGTCCAGGGTCACATATAGTATTTGATTAGAGACTAATGGTAGTGGAGAATTGTAAATTTATTGTATTCATTCCATAACATTTTTCTTTATTGTGCTTATAAAAATGTTTAAATGCAAAAATACATAAATCAAAATTACAACATGTTTGGACTCCAATGTGTCCATATAATTTAATGGTGATTTCAATTTGTTGTTTGTTTTAAGTGTTTCATAATATTTGTGTATTGTGTGGGGGGAAAAAAATATAAAAGCATAAAATCTTGTAACAAAAAGAGACTCAGTATTTCATGTATTTCTATCAAAACAACACTGCACAAATACAGGATATTACAATAAGGTTTTATCGATCATATACAGTATACTATTAATACAAACGATAAACTATATTGTTATAATATAGAATATATAACAATGCAATACATGTATTGTGCTCAAAAACACCCGATGCACACTTCAGAAGATGTCCAGTCCACTCAAGTTCTGAATTTTCATACAAACCATTCTGTATGTTTGAACCCAGCGGCTGTGGCGATCAAAAAAAAAAACAGTACAAATGATATTAATTACTTCCAAAATTATTAGGACTTGACATAATTCTTTCATTACATCAATACTGTGAATGAAAGTGGTTTCACACTCACCTATACGGTTAACAATCTCTTCACACTCACTGCTTGTGGCAGCCTGTAGGACCACACAACAGAAGCCTGACTGTTTGCCTGCTTGCGGTGAATCTCTGAAACCAATTACATGATTAGTACTGAAAACACAAAGCCTGGAAGAAATGTCACTAATAAGCAAATGGAATGCAGATAAACCAGTCTCATAACCCGTCTGCCATTTATTCAAACTCCAACACCATATCAAATACTGAAAGCTAGTACTGAAAACTAGAGTTTTAACTGAAAGGTATCTGAGAGAAACATTGGACATTTCAAGAAAGAAAGCTTAGCATAAAACAGCATGCCATGCATTTAATTTTAATGACTTGAATCAACATCTATCTACAACATTTTCTCAAAATACTTACAGTACACAAAAAGCAAAAATGGTTAAATCAGGTTGGCTTCCAAACCTCCCAACACATGATATCTCAGGGAAATGGTGTTGAAACAGCTCCTGATCAAAAGGAGAAACTTTGGCTTAAAATTACTCACATTTAACCTAAGTTATTTGTTTTTATATTGAAAAACACAAACCTGCTTATTGGACTTATCTATGCAGGTAAGATGAGTCTCCTTTATATCCAGCAGTACTTCCTATTTGACAAAATCAAAAAAGCATGCATGATATATTAAATAGGTCTTAAAATTAGCTTACATATATTTCTACATAAAACTCACTTGCTCAATTGTAGATATACCTTTCTTGCCTGACTGCTCTCCAGAACCACAGGAATGACATGCTGCAGGACCTCCTTACCTCCATGCTTAAACAAAAATAGCATTCATATTCAATAATCACATGCTTTAGGATCACATATTGACTCAAAAATACACATGCATGGATTAAAGTGAAACAAGAGCACCATAAAGAGAAATGTTTACACAACTACTGTACCATTCCTATGTTTGCTTTTCCTAAGAGGTGCACACCGTACAGGATCCTGTTAATGAAACACGATCAAACAGTTACAGGCTGGGGCTGTATATGGTATTTGTGACTAATACAATTGCAAACATACATGAAATGTATGAAATCTTTATTGAGAGTACCTGCCGTCTTTCACACACTGCGTCTGCCCTCTCTTCTGACCCGCAGTTCTGTCTTGCTGAGAGGCTGGTTTTGGGCCAAACCGAAGTGAGGGTTTTTCCTGTTTGAGCTGCCGTAAGTGTTTGACCAGTGGCTGATAGATAGACCCATCTTCTCCTCTCCAACGTATCAAGTGAATGGAAAGGGGCTGACTCTTCAGCTTAGACAGAACCACACCTGCCTTTGGATGGGAAAAGTGTTAGTCAGTTATTGAGCTCTATAGTTAGTTTTTTCCCCACATTTTTCACAGATCTCTTCTTCTTTATTGTTGATGTAAATGTAAGTAAAACAGATTATCTAAAAGAAAAAATGTAGGGTGGAGACTTGGTTCTATACAACAGTTGTTGATTGGATGTAGGCAGATCTGAATGTGAGCTTGCAGTTGACTAATTTTGTTGTTTCAAAATTTCAGTGAAATTTTGAGACAAATTAGGCCCATTGTCTATGGTCGATTGTGTGGCGATGTATGAAGCACAGCTCACATAGAAGTCACTTTCAAACTAAGTAGTTTTCTGTTGGTCAATGCTGTGATCTGTGTGACAAACTTCAACTTGTTTTGAAACCTGAATTTTGACACATTCTGCCCTCACGCGAAATTCCCAATTGTGTGGATTCCTACTGAAATGACTGCATTTCACCTGTAAAATTTCGCCAAACAATGTTAAATGTAAGCGTACTTATAGAAAAGGCTGTGGTTTAAGTGGACAGGAAATGAAACATAAGCATGGATGAATCATTCACAATAGATCTGGTGAATTTCCATTTCTTTAAAGGGGCCATAGGATGCTACATGCACTTTAACAAGTTGTCTGAACTGAAATGTGTGTTGGCAGTGTGTGTACACAACCACCCTATAATGATAAAAATCCACCCAGTGTTTTTTTAAAAAAATCTGGTTAAATGTTCATCAACAAAAATCAACTCGTAAGTACAAACGTCCCAGGAGGACTTGAACGCAGCATTAGACTGAGTGAGCTGTCATCAGTCCGCCATTGTTTCATGTAGACAAGAATGTCTCCTAAGCGATTGAGGTGTTCTGTTGTTGGATGTAATAATGAACATAGCAGTCGTCATTTACTCCCGACATCTGAGCCGCTGAAGACGCAGTGGATTACATTGTTTCTGAAGGGAATGCGCCCCTGATCTACATAAACGCGTCTATGTTCGCGCGAATCATTCATGATCCAGCCTCATCTACAGAAGAAGTGAGTATAAACTTGTGGAAAATGGGCATCCGATGACCCCTTTAAAACTTTAAAAAAGCTGCTGCAAATGAGATTTGAGCGCTACAACTTAAATTTTGGTCTGTTTGTCACATAAGCTATTGTATGTCTTCAGAATATAGCGCACAAATTGCATGACTATTTTTAATGGTACTTTAATAATGATTTTTTTTTTGTCATTTCAGGAGCTGTGCAGTTTATTTGATCATCCACTTTGTGGAAAACAGCAGCTCGGGCATTGTACCTAACATCCTTTTTATGTTTCCCAGAGGAAAGAAAACAAAATGATGACAAAACTGTAATTTTTGTGTGAAGTTGGGAACTATTCCTGTCAGGAGCCATATCTTGTGATGAATAAGTCTTAGAATAAGCAAACACAATGAAGCTTATCACGATTATATAATCAGTTCAGGCAAAGCAGATAACAGAGTACACAAATATAAAGCTGTCTCTAGGATTCATTTATGATGGTATGTTGGGTCATGCAGGACAACACATTTTATGGGAAAGATTACTTCTGACCTGCCCATTGCTAGCATTCCTCAGTGATATCCCATTAATTTCATCAATGATGTCACCAGGCTCGGCAAACATATCCACCTGAGCTTGACTACCCTGAAGCAAGTCCAGTAGAAAGACGCGTCCATCTAGGTACCTTTAAAAAGAAAGGTTATTAAAATATGCGATATGAATAGAAATACTGATTTGGAATCTTTGCTATTAATTCTAGAAAATCTAAAACTTGCAATGTGTAGTTGAGTATGATTTTTTCAACACAGAGAGCAAAAAGGTGATCAGAATGTGTGCACAAATAATTTTGTAGAAAAACTGTCCAAAATGACATGAACAAATGCAGCATTCAGAATTGAAAAGACATGCCAACATGCTAACCTGAGCACCATCCCCAGCTCTCGACAGGGAACAGCTTCATAGATTTGACACACCTAAAACACAAGCAAGGTTTGCAACATGCAATTCAGCATGACCTCTTCATGCACACACAGGTAAATCAAATCCATAAGAACATTAAGATCGTACCGGAAGCAGCCAGCTTTCATCCAAGAAGCTGCAGTTCTGAGATTAAAGTCACAAATAGAAAGTTTCTAGTAAGAAATGAAGATC